ACAAATATTTAAAAAAAATCTCATTTCATTGACATTTTAAGATATCGCACGATCAAAGAACGACGATCACCTTTCCTATTTTTTAAGTTAAACATATACACTCTGAGTTTAACTAATGATCAGTCACTAAAAGAGAGGCGAAAGATACCAGAGGGTCATTCAAACTCACAAGTCGAAAACAAACTGACAACCCCATGGTTAAAAAAGAAAAAGACAAACAGACAAACAACAGTACACAAAACACAACATAGAAAACTAATGACTGAGCGACACGAACCCAACAAAAAACTGGGGGTGATATCAGGTGCTCCAGAAGGGTAAGCAGATCCTGCTTCACATGTGGCACCCGTTGTGTTGGTCTTGTTAGTACAAACCCGGTAATAAGTCAGCATCAACCCTCTATTCATGTTATCATGATAGGCTACTGAAGTTATTGAATATCGTATCAACTTAGAAATGTATACTCCAAATTCAAGCTCTGCTAGAATTTTACCACTTAGAAATACAATATTCACATTGATAAAACTTAAATCATTTCTTTTGTCGTAACGTTTGTTATCAATCGACCCTTATTGTCTATTTCGATAAAAGCCAATGTATGAAGTGGGTTTAACTTATATGGTATATTCTTTATTTCAAGTTTAATGGGATAGATTCAATTAATATAGTCACACCAACAGTTGAATTATTTAGTGAGAGGATATTGTCTATTTAGCGGAACGTAAGGTTGAATGATAATATAGCTTCTTTTACTTCTTCTCCGTGTAATTCCGACTCCTGCATATGAAGACCAAGTCGAATTTAAGAGGAGACGGTTCGTTCCTATAGGAATGTTGATAGTCTGTTGTAACACGTCGTCAAAACATGTTGTTAACAAAAAATCATTTTAATTATTTCAGTTTCAGAGACATGGTTGTTTTAATCAAAATAATTTTAATAAATTATGATACTAGTATGTCCCTTCTTAATGAAGCACTACAGTCAGACTTTTTTTACTCCCGGTAAGCATTGGTAAAGGATACTTTCGGCCTACAATTCAAAGTAGAAAGACTTTTTATATTTTTTAAACACTCAAGTGTCTACTTCAGTCGATTCAATTAGTTTATGTTAAAGATTTGAACTGAATTGGTCATTAATAACGCTCAAATTGAAGCTCAAATATGAAAAATCTATCAAATATGCCATAAAACGTCACTTTTCAGATGGTTTTTGTCTAAATGGAAGTGGCCGCATTCGTGTTCAGTTTCAACATTTATATATGTTATGTATTATCATCAAATACAACATACATTTAAATATTAAGACTGAACACAAGTGCGGCCACTTCCACTTTAGACAAAACCCGTCTTAAAATTAGCAAAAATGCTAAAATTGTGAAGATTTCAGTATTTTTGCATGAAATAATGATTCTAATACCTGATGCATGTCAATAGTATGTTCAAAACAGTCCAAATTTATGTAACAACGTTATTTTACTTTCCAACAAAAAGCAAAAAGTTTTCATTTGTAACAATTTTGTAAAACGCTATATTTTGGGGCCAAAAAGTAGTCTTACCGGGGCTACTCCTTTAGAAAGGACAATGCTAATTCGACACTTGAAAACATAATTTTGATAAAAAAAAAAGGAAAAAAAATGCAATGCATGCGCCATCATTAAACAGACATTATTTCTAAGGTTTCGCAAAATCCTATTCATCGTCGGTATAAAAGAAGTAAATGATGAAGGAAGAGTGTAACGCAGACGACGCCCATGGAAAAAAAGAAGTAAGGCGATGGTAAGCTATCTATATTACTTTTTGTTAAATGAAAATAAACCTTTATTAATTTCATGCGTCTGGTGCGCTTTTCTTGATTTGACTTCATCAGAAACACTTGAACCAAAATATTCGAAAGCCAATGATCTTTAAGACGATAACACGTAATTAAACAACTCTTTTCTTAATATGACGCATTGACCAGCACTTTCTTACCTTTGGCCATGAAGGACAATACAGTTTTCATCACCATTTTTTTGTCTTAATGTTTTTTAATATGAAATTTTATCTATCTATTTACATCTTACCAAGCATTTGTTTTCTCTTATTGCTTTCATAATCGACTCAAGGTCATTTCGTTGATCTTTATATGCTGTGCTGTCAAACACTCTTTGCATAAGGTCATGAGAAGAAATACCAAATAACAATGGTGTTTTGTCCTTGATATATTCAGACATATCAATGGTAGCGCTGAAAGATTATTTGAATACGAGTATCTATTTGTAAGGAATAGGTACGATATTTGCCTACATTGTCCTTAAAATAAAAATATATTTCAACTATCTCTCATTTTCAGAATTGAATTTTGAATGGATGTGTTTTAATAAAGCATTACTGTTTACAAATATACTCTTTTCATGAGATATACAGCTATTATACGTTAATAAAATAGATGTAGTAAAATGGCGATTGTGCATTGTCTATTGGAATAGTAAATGCGTTAAAATAATATAAAGCACAACTGTCGCCAAGAAAAGATATTTAAACATTCAGTGTATAAATTATTCACTGGAAAAACCATATTTTGAGCGACGCTCGTGCTCCATGGATATGTTAATTAAGCCACAACGTTAGTATAATAAGTCCATTTTAGTTTAGAACTTTACAATTCTAATTTGAGGCGTTACTGTAAAAATGTCAGGCTAATTGTGTCATCAAGAAATGTGTAATTTCATTTTTTGGTTAGAGTCGTTCTTCTGATGCTTAGATAATTTGTCAAGTAATGACATATATCATTGTTTTGTTTTTTGGTAAATTTACATAACCAATTAAGCCCTAAAATGTACATTGTCTTTATTAAGTTATGTCATTATTATTTCACTCTACGTATGTAACAAACTTTCGATATCGGTTTACGGACAAAGCTAATAAAAAATGAGAAATTCTAATTGAAATATTTTGAAGATATTTTACGATTTACTCATATTATTTTTTAATAAAGTAAAAATACCTAAACAATACATGTTGAATGTAATATTAGAATTGATGTTGTACAATGTAGAGTATGTTACCGTAAAAATTTACTGGAGAGTCAATACGCTTATTTATTAAAAACAATTCCGGGGGGATGAATTCTCAAAATATGATATCTTACTTTTCAATGAATTCAGCAATAAAGTCAGCTGCTTTTCCCGAACCTTTTATAATCAGTATAGGCAAATCTTGCTTCAGAACTTGGTTAACAGCTTCTATTGTATCTAAGTCCCCTTCTGCTACTATTGTTAGAACTGGAACATTCCATTGCACTAATAATATGTTAATCATTCATTCGTAATCATTACATAACGTAAAATTGCATTCTTTATAATTATTTGATCTAAAAAATATTTTCGCTGAAGAACTGTGAGTCAGTCAAAATCAAGAACTATACATAAGTTGAATCTTGTCATTTTATTGTAATTAAGGACATACGTTATGTCAAATAACTCTGTATAATACCTTTATGCAACATGGAATATAAATAAGAAGATGTGGTATTTGTGCCAATGAGACAACTCTCCATCCAAGTCACAATGTATAAAAAGTTAACAATTATAGGTCAAAGTACGGCCTTCAACACGGAGCCTTGGATCACACCGAACAGCAAGCTATAAAGGGCCCAAAATGACTAGTGTAAAAAAATTCAAACAGGAAAAAAAGGGAAACAAGAAACATCTACGAACCACACTAACAAACGACGATCACTGAACAACAGGTTTCTGACTAAGGACAGGTTTGCAAAAATCCAGCGGGTTTAAACATTGTAACAGGCACCAACCTTCACCCTAGCCTGAGACAGTAGTAGTAACATTACAACTTAAAAAGACACACTATAAAGTATCAATTGAAAAAGCTTAATTCGATCAATAAAGACAAGTAAACATAAGTTTGATCTATGACACAATATAAATACAATATTGAAACGTAGATGCCAATATAATATAGATGTTACAGGCAGTGATAAAAAATATGTAAGAAGAGTGTCAATTAGACAACTCTAACCTGGGACAAAATGGCGTTAAGTAAAACAAATTACACAGGTAAATTTAAATATAATAATTTTGTTGTAAAGAGTACGGAGGTAAACATTTTTTACAAAATTAATAAATTTGTTGTTCAGAGTACGAGTACAGAAGTGAAAACTTATCTTCATACTAAATACTTATCAATGGTGGTATATATTAAAAATAATAGTGAGACAAATGTATGTATGAAGCTATTTGGCGCAATCGACAAAGGTCGGGTAAAAGTGTAAAATTAATGTAAGGTCCATCAAGGACGTATGTTAGTTATACGTCCTTGGACCCATCAGTAAAATTAAAGAACAAAATAAGTTTCATGATGTAGTTAATTGATTTAGACACTACAAATAGAAAATGAGACGGTTTAGTATGATTGCCAATAAAACAGCCATCGAGCAGAGAAAATTTATGTATGTATACGTAAGCAAATTGCATTAAAAAGAATTATAATTTATTAAAACAAATTTTATCTACAATCGTCAACTTTCAAATCGGATGCCTTGTTATGTAAATTCTTAAATATCGCAGAAAATAAAAGCGAGATATACTGAATAAAATACGAAGAAACCAAAAAAAAGTTACAATTAAAGATTTTTTCCGGGTAAGAAACATTCAACAAATTTCTTTGTGAACCTTTATATAATTGTAATATCGTCGTATATAAAGTATCTACCCTTTTTTATCCCTTTTTTCGAGGGGGGGGAGATCTGAACATGTCCAGTTCTTGAATTCTGACATGAAATTAAGCGATTATTATTAATTGTTATCACTTTTACACAGTAAAATTATTGAATACATGTTGTTATAAACACTGCTCAATATTGTTCGCAGATCTTATTCAAATTATATTAGTTGAATTGCTACTAATTGATAAATACGGACATTATAAACCATTCATCGCAATATATGAGATGAAACAATATTATATTTCATTGGTATGTATTTGTTATTAAATTAAACTTACAAGGCGTGCCTTCGAGTGTCATGAAAGATATTTTGTTTTTTACTAATCCTTTCAGCATAGATGCATGAAACTCAGCATACGACCTGTTATTCCCCAGCCAAACATTATATATTTCTCCAAGGAGACAGTCGCTGTTTTTCTTTTGCCAGTAGTCCTTGTAATAAATGAAAAAGTTAAAACGTAAGACCAATTTGGTCGTAGACAATAAATTTTATTGTATTGTAATTCATGGTAGGAAAAGTCGATAAACACGAAATGATGAAATTTTGCTAACGTTGATATCATAATTACAGATATATTTAGTATTTTTTTAAATAGTTCTGAAAGGATACAAATCACATTGGTAGCGTTGACCCTACACTGTTCTGACTGTTCTATTGTTTAGCTCTCGTTTCAAATTTTTAGTCTTCCAATCTTTTGGTCTCAATCATACCTGCGGAAGGTTGTTACAGGAAAATTTAATTTGAATCATCAAATTTTATACCTGGATATTAAAGGCAGCAGTGACTGCTAGTATACATTTTTCTGCTTTATTGATAAAAGAGGTAAGATCTTGAACTATAGACAGAACGAAAATCATATATTCAATTTACTAAAATTGATCAGCATACAGCTGTTTCCATCTAGTCATCAAACAAGATGTAATGTTCATAGTATGATTCATGAATGAAATTATAAAAACCTTAGCTTTTGGCATAATAGTTAAAGTGTATAGGGAAAGGGGGCACTATAGATAAGTGGGTACAAAATTGTCTGACCACATTGCATCACTATTCAGTTTTGATAAATATAATCAGTATTTTCGACTAGCTATATATCTTCTTTTTGGGTAGTTTGTTTTTACTTTATTTTGTGCGTATGTAATTGTACCTTTACCGACAGTAGTTGGTGAAATTTGTTAGGGATACATGGTTTTCATTGTGACATCGGCCATGATAAACATTTTAACCATTTGTCTATTAGACAATATAATTTGCGTTCTAATATGACGACCTAAATATCGTCAACCAGTATAATCACACTACTTTTAGCGCGAAAAATGTTAGTTTTTTTTATTTATTATTGAATAAAATAATAGCATTAATATCATCATATGCCGGGTAAAACGGAACATCCAAAATAATACCGTGTGTATTCACGTTGAAAAAAATACCGTAGTTGTCCTATTATAATCGAAAAATTGATGGCAGCCGTAGATTTGTTTCATTTAACCTTGGGTTGGGCATTTATATTCGTATTTTACACCTAACTATCGCTCTGGATAAAGTAATCAAATATAAATGCCTATCCAATGGTTAAATGAAAACAAATCTACGGCTGTTATGAATAATTTCTTAAAAATATTACATGGCAAAACATAAAATGTTGGTTGTATAATATGAATGTCACCACATTTAAAGAAACTGCATGATAACTACAATATGAATGAAATATAATCGTACCCATCCGTAATGTTCTTCGCCTGTATGTTTCTTTTTGTCGTGAAGATGGATTTGTTCCTCATCAAGATCGATGCTGGTTTCACACATGTCTTCTTCCGGAAGAATTCCCACTAGACTAATAAAGACATCATCACCTTCTGATTGCAATCTATTAAAATCCTCAACTGCTTCTCTCACGATACAGCTAACTGTTTCCGATGAACCTTTGTAGATAATCAAACTGTCTGCAAAATATGTATAAGAAACTAAAATGTTAATCAAATTTTCTCTTATTGGTATACTTGATAAACTTCTACATGGTCTATGTCAGTGGTTGACCTTGAACGAACTATAAATTATAACTATTTGTTTCTATCGTTGCTCATGTTCTTTTGCATATTCATTTATAAAATTTGAATTAAGCAATACACATGGTAAATATATTTATATATACATGTTGATATTTTGCTTTCAACAATTAGGTGATCGTACTCTACGTAGATATTTTCATCAACAGATATTACAAAAACTCTCACATCTTTATCAAAAGATACTACAAAAAGTCTTATATTTTTATCAACAGATACTACGAAAAACTCTCATATTATCATCAACGCGCACTAAGAAAATTCTCATATATATTTTTCATCAGATACTTCAAAAACTCTCATATTCTTATCAACAGATACTCTGAGAACTCTCGAATTTTTATCAACAAATACTATGAAAACTCTCATATTTTCATCAACAGATAAAACGGAAACTCAACTATTTTTTTCGACAGATAATACGAAAACGCTCGTATTTTTCTCAACTGATACTACGAAAACATTAATTTTATCTCTAGAGATACAACGAAAACGCTCATATTTATTTCAAAAGATACAACGAAAACTCTCATATTTTTATCAATAGATAATAAGAAAACTTTCATAGAAATGTACAGTTGTGTTATTTATTTATGTATTTCTCTGTGTTGAGTGTTCTGGAGTTTGTTTGTACTGTATTCCTGTCCCGTAGTGTTGTCATTTTAGCAGTATTTTTTACATTGCCATAATAGCGGGAGGTTTGGTTAGCCATAAAACCAGTTTCAACCCACCATTTTTTCTTAAAATGTCCTGTACCAAGTCAGAATATGGCAGTTGTTATCAAATAGTCCGTTTCTATGTATGTTGGCGTTTGTTTTTGTTGCAGTTCAGTGTTTCTGTAATTCCGTTGTTTTTCTTTTATAGTTGATGTGTTTCCCTTGGTTTTAGTTTGTTACCCGCTTAATCGATTTATGACTATTGAACAGCGGTATACTACTGTTCCCTTTATTTAGCAACAGAAACTATGAATTTCAAAACCGATTCTATGAAAACTCTCATATTTTATACCAATAAACAAACATAATGTGTTGAGTAAAGTATGGGATAGTTATATAATTATAACTATATGTTCCAATCGTTGAACCTGCTCTTTTCGTGTCTATTTATAACATATGAATTAAGCAATACACATGGTAAATATATTTACATATTGCAAAACATTTTAATATTTTGCTTTCAACAATTAGGTGTTCGTACTCTACGTAGATAATTCTAACAATAGAATGTAACTGATTGTCATTTTTAAAATAAAACAGATCTACGAAACGTTTCATATTAACATCAATGGATACTTCGAAAAATCTCATATTCTTATCACCAGATACTACGAAAACTCTTATATTTTTATCAAAAGATACTACAAAAACTCATATTTTCATTGACATGTACTACAAAAACTCTCATATATTTATCAATAGATACCACGAAAAAATCTCCTATTTTTTCATCAGATACTACGTAAACTCTGATATTTTTGTCAACGGACACAATGAAACTGTTATATTCTTTCACCAGATACTACGAAAAAATTCATATGTTTATCAACAGTTCCTAAGGAAACGTTCATATTTGTAACAGATGCAACGAAAATTCTTAATATTTTCATCGACAGATACTACAAACCATCTACTTTTTCATCAGATATTACGTTAACTCTCATATTTTCATCAACGAACACACTGAAATTCTTATATTTTATCAACAGGCACATTGAAATTTTTATATTTATTCATCGAATACTACGAAAACTCTCATATTACCATAAACAGATATTACGAAAATTTCGTATTTCATCAACAAATACAACGAATATCAACAGATTCTTTAAAACCCTCGTATTTTTATCAAAGAATACTACGAAAACTTTCATATTATTTTCAAAATATAAAACGAAAACTCTAGTATTTTTATCAACAGATACTACGGAAACTCACATATATTTTTATCAACGAACACAACAAATTTCTTATATTTTTTCAACAAATGCTACGAAAACTGTCATATTTTGATCAACAGATACTAAGAAAACTCTCATCTTTTTTTTTCCTCAGATACTCTCTCATATTCTTTTCAACAGATTCTCTGAGAACTTCCGTATTTTTATCAACGAACACTACGGAAACTCTAATTTTATTTTCAACAGACACTTTGAAAACTCTTATATTTCTATCAACTTAATAAAGTTAGAGAAAACTTGAAGATCCCAATAGTTAGTATTGAATAAAATGTTATTTTCAATAATAGTCCATAATACTGATTTAGTGTACAATACACGATTTGAAATTTTTACTTTATTAGGTACGTACGGAATCAAAAGGTAAGAAAGCTTAATACCTTACAAATAATGTCAGCAAAAACAATAATAAGAATTGTCTTAATAACATCAGACAAACCCGTCTATGGTCAGCTTTGCCTATGTAATATTTTTTTTTTTGTGAAATTATATAAAACGAATCTTAATCCTTGCAATCCCGAAGACGCCCCTTGCTATCTTTTCCATCTTCTTGTTACTCGGAGGATAATACCCTCGGAACTTAACAACCCATCAGCAGGTGTCCGAACAGAGAAGCAGTATCTAACGTCAAATGTCTATCTCATTGTAAGTTACACGAGTTGTTTATTTGATATTTATCGGTTAAGGTCGCATTTGACCGGAAACGCATACAATGTTACAGTATCCGGTCTCGCTCCACGTCTCGCTCCCTTTGGAGTTCATGCGATTCCCTCAGTCTTTGTTGATTTTGTTTTAGATTTTGTTTGTATCTTCTTAATAGATTTATGAGATTTAAACTACTGTTGTCTTTAATAGATAGACGTTATATTTATTTTCGACGTTGGTTGAAGCGGTGAATGTTGCTTGTTATAATGATAGAGTTTTCGTTGGTGTGTGAATGTATTTGGAAATGTCTGATGCCAGTGAATTTCAATACAAAACACCTTCAATTGTCATTAACGTAAGTTTTTCTCCAATCCGGCGGAGTTCTTTTCCATTTAGTGGCTTATCCCTTTCTGTGTATTATGTTGATAACGCTAACGCAAATTTGAAATTCTAATATTATTGGGCTAAATTTAAGACGAATTATATATTTATATATATATATATATATGTATAGTTTTATTAATATGGATGGTCATCAAAGTGACTACACCTGCAAGCCCGACCGTCATTTGAGAACATGGGCACGCCCAAGCTGATTTCAAAAACCTTACCATCACTATCATAGACCACAACGAGGGTTGGTCAAGCGCCGACAGACTTGCTCGGGAAAGTCTTTGGATAAGAAAGTTAAGGACAATTTCCCCAGAGGGTATTAATGAAAAACCATGAAATGAGAACCTACCATCACTTGTTTCCTGGAACTCAGGCTTCAGTACAGGACTCTCACAGTTTTAAGGAATTTATTCCTCCTCCCAAACATCAATATTGAAAAAATTTACCAGCGTATTGATTCGTGATAATTTGTACAACGATCAAGATTATTATTTCAGTTCGACTACCACATGTCAAGATAAGTATCATTTGACATCTTACTGGTGAAGGATGGTGATGTTGTACCCTTTTAGACTTGCTTATTATATAATATAATATATATATAAATATATATATGAGTTCGAATCCCGGCCAGGAGAGAGCAAAACAATTTGCTTCCGCAAATTTACAGATCTCACATTGTTGGGCTGTTATTTAGACGAATTATGTATACAGAATGTGTTTTCAGCCTTGTATCACCATCACTGGTGATCCAATGGATAAATTCTGTCGTAGAGTTGTCACTGGTTCAGACGTACTTATATGATCCGTTCATCCTATTTCGACTCTTCAAAATTGAAGAGTCAATCCCAAATTGAGGTAAATTATATGGCCTTCCAAATACCGTTTCGATTCCTAACATCACTGAAGAGACATTAATTGTCGAAATCCGGATATGGTGTACAAATTTTTGCACCTCATGTTTGCGGTATACCATCTTTTCCGCAAGTTTTTTGTTTTCTATTTGGTATTAGATTAAAATTAAGATCCATTTTGTTACATCTATGATCCGTTTATTTGGCAATCGCCATGGCAGTCAGCAGGGTTTAAGAACATCCGTTGTTCGACCTGCTAGTCAAATGCGTTTTGTTAAAATATACTTTTTCACTTTTTGGTCTTTTGGAAAATGTTGTTTGTGCTGTATTTAGACCCCTCTACCAAGAAATTTGTTTTGCATGCACACGTATAAATATTGCGGTTTTTATCCAACGCAATCATAGGATTGAACGTTGTTTTCAATTTAGACTTGTTTATATATATATATATATATATATATATGTGGTTAAGTCTAAACAAGTGACAACTCTACGACAGATCCATCCATATAAATTGTGTGTTTTCAGCTGTGTATCACCTTCACTGGTGATCCAATAGATGGATCTATCGTAGAGTTGTCACTTGTTTAGATGTACTTATCATATACTAGTAATTATTTCTGTGACTGCATCTTACGATACTTTACGACAGATAATTAAGCTAATCTGCAATCAATTCCATTTTCATGCCTAATAAATCATGTACTGTGTTACAACTCTAGGTTCTACAGACGAGGAAAAGGTAACACTAGGCCACCTGAAGCTGAATTTTTAGTTCAGTCTAGGTGGCCAAGTGGTCTGGAGCGCTGGGCACAGTGCAGGGGGTATTGTCTCAATAACCCAATAGCACGAGTCCGAGTCCCGGCGAGGGAAGAACAAAATTTGCTTCCGCAAATTTGAAGATTTAACATATATATATATAAAGTGCAATGTAAAATGACATTATTTCAGTTCAAAAATTATGATAAAACAGTTTTGAAGAAAAAGTCCTATCAAACTTGCAATGACGTATTAGTTTTGAACTTCGTCTAAAGCTTAGTGGAAAAAAAAACTTTGAGATGAAGAACAATGACTGCGCTGCTCCTTTGCTTTTGATTTTTACAAGTGGGTGAAGGGAGTTCTTTTGTCAAGGATTAATACAGCTTGTTTTTTTTTTACCGTAAAACCAACAATCTTTTACCTTTTGCGCCTTTTGCGGTTTCTATGAGTCCATATTGAAATACCGAGGTTATCCATGGTTTAGGTACAAAGCTTTTCGAATCACCAATGATAGAGAGGACAAGTTTAGGTGGTTCTGGATCACGGTACTTTTTTTCTCTCTTGTTCTTACTCTTGTCTTCCAGCAATTTATGCAGGCTTTGCAACTCATCCTTTTTCTTTTTCCGCAACTGATGCAATTCCTCCCAGAGGCGATTATCTTCCATTTCTGCCGGTCAGGTTATAACCTTTTCAATTAAAAGTGAGAAAAATATAAAATTTTGCGCTAAAGATTGAAGGTATGCAGTCTTTTTACATCTTTGTAGCAGCCTAAATATACAAATATCTTAACATACAGTTTAAAAAGAAACCAGTGCTATATTGCGTGTTTAATAATATACTTAGTTTCATATAATCTACAGAATGCATGTCATTTTGTTTGAGTTAAAACGACTCTTAATGAATTATTGAACCGTCTTCTTTTGACCAAAAATAATTGTATTGCGTTATATTTTAAAATAAGGTAGTTAGTTGGGAATTTACTATCTAATGAAAGACTAACCATAGCTATCATGCATCATCTTCGCCATCCAAGGTTTACGATCGCACCTGCTCCACTTCAACTTCACCAGCCAAGGGTTACGATCCGACCCGCTCCTCTTCACAGGGAAGCGGGTCGGATCGTAACACTTGGCTAGCGAAGATGAGCTGACGTTTGCATTTAACTGGGAAAGATGGAATTACGGAAATATATTAATTAATTGATGAGTTAAATGTTAATCCGTTTATCTTATTTGGGACGCATTTGTCTATAGTTCTGTTGTGTTTTTTTTTTAATGTCACACATTTTCTATCTGTATGGTTTACTTATTCATATGTAAAATATCAACATGGACTAAAATAATCAGAAATATGTCTCTTGGAGATATTACACATCTGACAAAAAATAATATATATATATTCATTTCTTGGTCTAAAAAATGGTTTTGAAAAGTTGCGTAGCAATTAAAACAACCACAATGGAACAATAATAAAAAAAAAACAATGGCACATTACTAAAAAACCAAAATAGTACAATATTTTAAACATTATTTTAACTATACGAAATGAAAGAAGTACGACGTTATTTATACAATGCACGAAAAACAACGTCAAATTAACGTTACCAAAACTAACACCAACACCGTACGCGACGTCCTAGCTTTTTGATATTTGAATGTTAAGGAATCACAGAAAAATGTTATAATAAATTAATATGCAGGGAGAGTGCACAGTACCTCCCCATCAGTTACTAAACAGTATACCGGTAATTCATCATAGCAACGAATGTAATGCTATCAAACAAGAATATAATGGCTATTATCATTTCTTAGCATGTTCAATGAGTGGTTGTTTTTTTTTTGTTGTTGTAAAAGTTTTATTACTAATCAAGAATTGTATCGATAACAGCAGATATATGTATATCTCCGCAATTAATGTTTTTTTTTTCTTCTGATGTCCGTCTATCTGTATATATACACCTTGAAAGCGCAATTCTGTTGACAGGATTAACAGATTTTTTTATAGTGTACGAGCCAGTGTACCTTATATAAAAGTGTATGAGTCATTTGCAACTTATTCTTACAGTTTTTTATGTTGTGCTTTTACACCACTCTCCCAGGTTAAGCGGAGGCTCGGTTGAGTGCCCACAAATATGTTTAACCTCGCCTGTCCCATGTCAGTAGCCTGTAATTCAATGGTTGTCGCGTTGGTTCATGTCTGTTATATTTGTTTTGCGTAAATGGAATTGTTATAAATTATGCCGTTAATATTTAGTTTGAATTATTTAATATTTTTCATGTCTGTGCTTTTATAGCTGACAATACGGTATGGTGGGTTTTTCTCATTGTTGAAGGCCGTATGGAGGCCTAAAAAATGATCACATCCAAGTCATTTGAACTCTGGCGAATAGCTGTCTCATTGGCAATAAAACAACATCTACTTATTGTTATACTGAGGTTATATTTATAGTCATTCTATCACCGTACAGCAACCTTGTGGCTAAATCTAATAATGAGGATCTGATATATTTCAATGAATCTTACCGGTTTTTGTCGACCCCTTGTATATTATTCTTCTGTCTGTTCCATCTGTTATATCTCCTGACAGTATGTATTTTAATTTAAAAGCAGTAGAACAAATCTTCCTGTTCAAATAAGCGTCAAACGCAGGATATCCTTTTTGCGAGATAGAAAGCTACTGATAAAAACATTTATTTCAAAGAAATAGTATACATACAATCGTAAAATCTTACTCGGTAAATAATCTATTTTATAGTTTTAATCATTTTCATGTGTTCATACAAGTTCCCAATATTTGATTTCTTTAATTTGATTCTAAAATTTAACTACCTTTTAAAAGTTCAAGATCAAAGGTCAATATTTAATGCCAAAATACAAAGGATTTGTCGTTCGTGCCGATTATAACCAGCACCCTAACTCCTATACCCCACCCTTTATATATTTCCTCCAAAAATTGCCTTTTTACATGTCTTGAAATTTTAACTCCATTTCTTTAAGAAAAACCACAATTCAGCCCAAATTTAAGTGCCAACGAACCTCTAATGTACCTAGCAGGTAATAGCTCGAAACCTAGAAATGTCTTTGAATTTTATAACTTCGACTTGTTTGGAAAAGTGGGTTTTCTTCCAAAGTAAAAATGTGGTTGTATTTCTGGCAAAATGTTAAAAGCATTAAGAAAAACAATCAGTTTAATCTTCCAAACATCTTTGTCATTCTTAGAATAATCTGCATGATAGTAACCATTTGCGAAATTGAGCGTTCAAATAGTGAGCTCATGCTCCTGGAAATGTTTTGCGTGCAACAATAGGCAAGAAATGACTTAATGGAATAGCACGTGCATTATGGTTTACACTAAAACTTTCATTTTGATATGACCGTTTACCCTTTTGTTCGCAGACATCAAAGAAAAATTATGGATGGATGTTAAATGTTCAATGGCAAATTAAATACATAACCAGGAAGAGAACAGGCTGCATTGTGATCTGAACATAAACCCTGCTTTGTACAAGGACGACAAGTTTAGTCGGATTTTAACGTGTTAGTCACAAGGAAATAGTCCTCATGAGACATGTCACCTATCTGGATACATTTTTCCCACCGAGCCAATCATATTTTCTCTTACTCCTATGCAGTGTACTAAGCGAAGAAGCAGCGATGGGATTCGAGCCTATACGCTCTTTCGCACTCGAGGTGAGCACGCTACCAGAAAACCACCAAGGTGGTAAAATATGAAATTGGGATCAACTTTGTAAACCATGTCTTATACCATTTGTTTTTTTAACTACATTGATAATCTTAATTTTAAAAAAAATGAGATATTTTGAAAGTTCGTTTTGGTGACACTCCTTTGAAAACTTTCTGCGGCTTCAGTCATTGTTCATTGGCTTTGTATGTTTTGCATAGCTTGCATGTACAATTGTTAAAGAATTGCTATATCAATTCATCGTTTGAATTATACTACCAAAATAACATAAAGGACAAAACATATATTTGTGTCTACGCTTTATTGTTAAATAATATCCCTGGAAAAAATCGTTATTTTAAATCGATGGCTTATTGTCCAATCAATCTATGCAGGAGATGCTTTTAAAACATCAATAAAATCTTGAGGGCGTGTTGTGTCCAGGGTATCATAAAAGAGAGGCGAAAGAAATATACCAAAGGGACATTCAAACTCATAAGTCGAAAATAAACTGACAACGCAATGTCATCAAAAGAAAAAAACAAAAGACAAACACCCGTACACAAAACACAACATAGAAAACTAAAGACTGAGCAACACGAACCCCACAAAGAACCGGGCTAATCTCAGATACTCCGGAAGGGTAAGCAGATCCTGATATGGTTTTGATATACTAAACGTCTACCATGTTAATAGTGTTGAAAAAAGATGAGTTCGAGTTAAAAAAAAAAAGTCGTTTTTTTTTTTAATAAAAACAATCAAATGAAAACTGGGAAATCTAAATATTTATGTTATTGATTGAGCAGCATCTTTAACTTCAATATTACTCTATTTGAAACATCACACATGATTGTATAAGGAAACTGGCAAAATTTCACGATAAAAAAAAAATGTATTTAGAGATAAAAACTAAGATTTTATCATAAATTCTCCGAAATTAGGAAACCGGAAATTTGTAACTCTATTTTAAAGATAACAATTAATGATGACTCTATATGGAAACTCTCAATATTTCATGACCAAACATAACTACAAAATATGTAGTTTAATATAAAATCTCCGAAAACAGGAAACTGGACAATTTGTCATATGAAAGGGAAAATTATTATTTTTTTGTCAATATTATCCAAACAATATACAGAATAGGTGAAAGATTTAAAATATCACGACAAACAATATTTATGATATATATCTAAGTAAAAAAAACAAAACATTAACAACTTCTGTTGAAACCCTCTGTTAAGACTTTTCAAAGATATATATATATATATATATATAAGTACGTCTAAACAAGTGACAACTCTACGATAGATCCATTCATTGGATCACCAGTGAAGGTGATACACGGCTGAAAACACATATTATATTCATAATTACTCTAAATATATATATATATAGTTCGTCTAAATAACAGCCCAACTTACAATGTTAGATCTGTTTGTTGAAGCAAATTTTTGTTCTTTCCTGGCCGGGATACGAACTCATGCTATTGAGATATCGTGGCACCAAATCGCCTTGCACTATGCCCGGCGTGCTAGACCACTCGACCACCTAGGCTCGATAGACATCAAGATTTCGGTGGCCGCGGGTTTTATCTTTCCTCGTCAGTTTTTATCTATCGTCGTAACACAGTACATGATATATAAGGCATGAAGATGAGAATATTACAGATCAGCTGAATTATCTATCATAGAGGATCTCACAAATTAATGTAGGATACAGTCACAGAAATAATTATATTATAAGTACTCTGAACCAGTGACAACTCTACGACAGATTTTATCCATCGGATCACCAGTGATGGTGATACAAGGCTGAAAACACATTATGTATATATAATTCGTCTAAATAACAGCCCAACAATGTTAGATCTGTAAATTTGCCGAAGCGATACTCCTATCATCCCGAAAACATCGGACTGCAAGAAACCTTAATACCCCATTCCTTTTTCCGCGTCGCCCATGTCCAAGCCCACCCTGCTATTTAGTCTTTAACGGTCATTTTGATCTGAACATCATGTGAATCAATAGTTGAACTAAATACGTTAAGTCTTTGTAAGAGTTTAAATTTTTTTTCATATATTTTTTGTTGTAATTCAGTACTGTTTAGACTTTTTTCAAGCAGTCATGCTTAGACGTTGCGCACGATGTTGGTACTACTTAGCGTTTCACGACGTTCCTTAAAATTAGGCGATCTCGACGATTTCAAAGAAAGTTTCAGGCGTTTAAGCATATTATTGATGAGGTCAATTTACTGTAACAGTTGTGAATTTGGTACCTGATTTCGGTTTGTCTGAAAAAATGCATAATTTTACAAATAAAACTCAAAGCGGTCGTATAGATAATTTTTTTAATGAATATTCATTTTACAGGAGTTGTCAGTCTTTCCAGGCCATAATTGATAATTTTCCTTTCGGCAGCAGTTCGCATTAATGAATCCGATACATTAATTTCCAAATTTACACAGATTTATTTTTAATATAAATTAGATTTTGAATAAATATTCTCCTATTTTTTGCATATTTATACATTTGTACATACTCCTGTTGTTGCATTTCTTCCCGTTTCCGTTTCCTTTCTATATTTTATCATTTCCCGATGCTTTCTTTGTCGCAAAATATCTAGGAAGTTAAACATTCGAGATTAATTTCTTAATTCCGTTTTTTTTTTTGGCCTATGCATATCCTTTGTTTGTTATAATTGCCAGCAATGGTTTTTCTCTCTTTTATTTTATCAAAAAAAAATTATACATGTTACTTTTGACGATTTAACACTTGCAGATAGACAATGTTTCTTATATAAAACAAATATGCTATAAAAAAAACTAAAATCCCGATATTTTTTTTATATCAATCTCATTTGGTCAATATTTGAATTTTTTAAACTTAAACTACTCCTTTCTCATACATTGGTTGTATTGTAAATTATACATTTATTTTTATTTTCATTCGAATTAAACTGGAAACAAATAATTACGATATAAAATTAAAAACCCGAGCATGACATCAATTACGTTTTGCGAACGTTGGGACAAAACGGCTATACTTTTTGAAACGATCTAAAAACCGTATTGCCTAAAGAAAAAATATTAAACACTATATTGTTTAAAAACAAAAACAAAAAAACCTTTACCGCCAAGTTTTATTTTCTATGATCTAACTATGCTTATTTGATAGACAGCTGGTTAAAACCTCAATTTTAAAGAAAATACAGCGTTTTTTTCGTTGGGACAAGATGGCTATACTTTTTGAAGTCATTGCAATAGAAACTGTACGCATGGTTTACGGCAAACAAATATCATGAACCAGGAGAAAAGTAAAAAAACTTTCAAAATATAATAAATATTTTTCCTGTCAGCTTTTTCAATTTCACAGTATAAATGCGCAAACCCGAAATATACTTACCTTGCATATGCTTGGACATTTTTCAGACCGTTTTAAAAAATAACATTTTCCGGATTACGGTTTCAGTGATATTGATTTTGCTTTAACTAGCGAATATCTATAACAATAGCAATGTTCTTGTGAAGTTTTACGATGATCGGAGAAAAAATACCGTAGGAAAGAAACGGAACTCTGATTTTTTGCACACAAAATGAAACGTTGGACATTACGTTTTTGCGTAAAAATGGGATAATTAAGTGTTATAATTCCTGGTATTTTAAATTTCGGTTCCTTTTTTTCTTTAATTTCAAGTCTAGTAATGTAATGAATTCAATCAGAAATCACTATATTTTTATCGAACTGACCAATCTACGTATTTATTTTGATGCTAATCTATAGCAAAATGGAATTCGTACCAACATCGTGCGCAACGTCTTAGTGCTGTTCGTTTCCATTCAAGGCAAATCAGTATTTTGATGTTTTATACAAGTAAAGAACCACTACTGAAAAGTTTGAACAAAGACTGAATAGATAGTAATTGACTGCAAAGGAATTGTCTGAACAGTATAAAGCGCATGCAGTTGATACGTTTGAAAATTGTCTGAAAGACTGAACATGACTAAATAATTTATTGTTCTGTATTTTAAGAGCTGTTCCGATCAAAGCGACCGTTTCAGTTCAAAATTGGTTTACTAATGTAATTTTACGCTTTGTTGAAGGCTGTAGCAATATACTTATCTCCTTGTTCTTTTGGTCTTTGGGGATAAAATTTTTATATTTATCTCATTTGCATGCAATCTTACCAAATTTTATGTGTATATTGCGGCCGTCATCAATTTCCCGATTTTGAAAATTAGTGCAGTTTATTATGATTCGGAAATAAACTTGTAATTATCAATGTATCTTGGAATCTTTAAATTTTGTAAATACATCTGTTCCATAAAATGTTGAAAGTAAGCATATTTCACAACTCGTTTGCTATGCCCGTGTCTGTTGTGAGTCTGATGTTTTGGATTTTAATTAACGTAATCTATATATTACTGGTAAATTATTAAGTCAGGGATTTCGTTACCATAAATTACTTGAAACCTTTACAAAATTCTTTCATAGATATAAAGATTTGGGTTTAAAGTTTGGTTGTACCTGTAGAAAACTTATTTCAAACGGGATAGCCCACCCTCATTTTTACGGAGATGTTGTTTACCGGGCCCGGAAATTTAGAGACGATCCTGGTAAACTTATCGATCCTTTAAATAAACTTATTCTAAAAGGTTACCAATTCAACACTGTAAAAAGTAAAATACCAAAATACCGAACTCCGATGAAAATTCAAAACGGAAAGTCCGTAATCAAATGGCAAAATCAAAAGCTCAAACACATCAAACGAATGGATAACAACTGTCATATTCCTGACTTGGTACATACATGTTCTTATTGAGAAAATGGTGGATTAAACCTGGTTTTATAGCTAGCTAAACCTCTCACTTGTATGACAGTCTTTGAATATTGTGTTTATTGGTATTAATATTGATTATGTTATCAGTAAATTAAAAGCAAACTAAATATTATTGTTTTACATATGCACATTCATGGCTCTACAATCTGTCGATACCTGTATCTTGGCATTGCAGAAGGTCATGTTTTTCTCTGACTGTTTATGACGTCTATACACCTAAATCCATTGGATGTTGGATGTGTAATGATTGATAATTTAGTCTTAGATGCATGATTTTTTTTATTAGTTGTTATTGGCCTTGAACTAGCTGTCAGTAACTGCGAGTACTGTACTTAGTGTCTTTTCGTTGTTGGGGTGTACAAGTACCCGGCCACGTCCACTCTGTGTTTTTGTTAGATGTATTTCTATTTGTATCCATCTGATGAGTTAAGTCTTTTTCAACTGATTTTTATAGTTTGTTCTTATGTTGTTACTGTTACACCATTGTCCCAGGATTAGGGGAAGGTTTGGGCGCTCGCTAACATGTTTAACCCCGCCACATTTTGTATGTGTCTGTTCCATGTCAGGAGCCTGTAATTCAGTGGATGTCGTTTGTTGCTGTGTTACATATTTGTTCATTATTTTGTACATAAATTAGACCATTAGTTTTCTCGTTTGAATTGTTTTACATTTGTCATTTCAGGGCCTTTTATAGCTGACTATGCGGTATGGGCTTTGCTCATTGTTGAAGGCCGTACGGTGACCTATAGTTGTTTATTTCTGTGTCATTTGGTCTCTTGTGAAGAGTTGTCTCATTGGCAATCATACCACATCTTCTTTTTTATATAGGTAAATAGATTTGATTTAGAGTCGGCACATACACATATGTAACAGTATAAATTGGGCGTCAGTAGGATCAAGCATCAATCGACCGTACAATTAAGATCCTCATGGGTAGTCAATGTTGTTAAAAAAAATCTCGTCGTCATCCAGCATCATATATAGCCTCCTAGTTTAAATTCCATTTTTTTTTAATTAACGAAAAGTAATATGAGTTCTATGCAGCTCTTACAGTCGACTTTATAGAAAAGAACCAAAAAACGGTTACACTATACAAACAAAAATATAAAAGCATGCAGAAGAGCACAAATAAAATGATAGACATTATAAGGCACTTTTAAAAAGCATAGCACGTAACCAGTGGCTATAAGGAGTGAGCTGAAAAGGGGGAGGCAAACTTCTGAAAGTGACAAGCAAAAAACAGTTTGTCTATAGTCAAATAGTCCAAGTGTTGGGACTGTTTTAGATAAAATAAGATAAGATATTTATCATTAGTGTAAATGACCCAAATAATCAGGCTGGTTCGCCTGCATGGTTGCTACTAAATACACGAAATAGCACAAATACACAATAACCCTTAATTACCATGATTACAAATATGTAACATTTACAAAAAAGATTCAAGAAAAAGATAATTTTTTAGTTGCTTTTATTTCTTTTTCTTTTCTTAAATGCGCTATAATTATGTTGTGCTGTTATATATCACTGTACATATATGCGGTATAGGGCTTGCTCATTGATGTATGCCGTACGATGACCCATAGGTGCTAACTTCTGCGTCATTTACTCTGGTGGAGACAGTTTTCTCATTATGAAAAACATACCACATCTTCTTGTTTTTATATTGTGGTGAATTTTTGTTTAGTTTCTTTGTTTGTACTTTAGATATATCTGAAATGGTTCCCTTGAGTAAAGATCTAGCGAAACAACGTCGATTAAAAAAAAAGGAAAAGTGAAATTATCAGAAGCAAAAACATTCAACAGTCTATCCTGGGACTAGTCCCAGGTCTATCAGATATTATTTTATGGGAAAACGTGAAGGTGATGCAAAATCTAAATAATTTTTACTCTAAATATGTGTCTTTTAGCCCGAATCACTTCAACATTCATCAAAAATCAGAGCTGTATCATGGTATTGTCTATTGATGTGTAATTTCAACTAAATTTCAATAAACATGATACCTGAGACTACTATAACACATGTGTTATAGTAGTCTCAGATGATACACAAGGAAAAGTAGTCGGTGATTAACTGGATACAATAAACAAAATCAATCTACCCGTGTAAATTATTAATTTCCTGGATTAACTCGGTTTTTAATTTAATTGATGAATACCTATAACAACAAAATTATTTAAGTTTACTTGAAAAAAGCATAGGTACTTGGGGACAGGACATTTTTTTTTAAGTCCTCCCCCTTTTTTCCAAAATCCGTTATTTTTTTGTTTTCCATCAATTTCAATTATTTTCGTGTTTTACTGTATAATATGAACATAAATATACTAGAACTAACTTGTATTTGCTATTTACTGCTTCACAATATTTTACACAGGGTTGTAACAAATTGAATGAAAAAGGAAATTTTAGAAGATCTTTGTGTAACCTCTTCTGGTTTTCCTGTACTGAATAAAAATATGGAAGCACTCGCATGTTCTTTTCCATTGCTCAGAAGTATTTTTATGTTTAAAATATGAAAGATAACATCAATAATTAAGGGTTTTTGGGTCTTCCTTAGTTGCAAGAATGACAATGTATAATTATTATCTCAAAAATTTGGGGATATTCCTTACATTTTGGAAAAAAATGATTTTTGTCTGGGTTCTCCTTTTTCAGAATTTTGCTCATATTTTGATAAGTTTGCTATAATAATTTGTTTTTAATATTTACAAGAACCATTTAAACTTATTTTGTCACACATATAATATTAAAAGGAACACCTTTTTATTTGAAAGCTTAACTAATAATTTAACAGTTTTTAGAGGTCTTTTAAACGTTGCAGACACTACATTTATTTTCCAATTGCTTAGACTTTATATTGTTATGTTAAAAATTTTGACAGATATCATCAATAATTAAGGATTTTTAGGTTTTTCATTAATTGCATAAATGAGAATGTATAATTATTACCTAAAAAATTGGTTATAATTCTTATATTTTGGAAAAAAATGATTTTTGTCTGTGTTTTCCTTTTTCCGAAATTTGTTCGTACTTTGATTAGATTGCTATAAATAGTTTGATTTTAATAAAACAAGAACCATTCAAACTTATTTTGTCACTTCAAATATAATATTAAAGGGAACCTGGTTTATTTGAAAGCTTTATTAATAATTTAATAGTTTTGAGAGGTCTTTAAAGAAGCTTTAAAACATCGTGGATACTACATTTATTTTTCCAATTGCTAAGACTTTACACTGTTATGTTTAAATTTTGAAAGATATCATCAATAATTAAGGGTTTCTAGGTTTTTCATTAATTGCAAGAATGAGAATGTATAATTATTACCTAAAAAAATTGTTTTATTCCTTATATTTTGGAGAAAAAAAGAAGATTTTTTTTCTGTGTTTTCCTTTTTTAGAAATTTGTTCATACTCCGATTAAATTGTTATAAATTAATTGTTTTGAATAAAATAAGAAGTGTTCAAACTTATGGTGTCACTACAAATTGAATATTAAAAGGAAGACCTTTTTATTTGAAAACTTCATCAATAATTTTAATATTTAGAGGCTTTAAACATGTTAAAGTAGCTTGAAAACGTTGTGGACACTACATTTTTTTAATGTTACAATTCTTGAATGTTCAAAAACAGATCAATAGTGTACAGTATTAATTTATTTATAGTATCTATAAAAAGTGTGGTTACATTAGAAGAAAGTTTCTCATCACAAAACTAAAAGTAAAATTTGTGACCAATGTGTATCACTAACTTTATTATTTTTTAACCTAATCATCAAGTACTAGGTACCTGAACTGGCGATAGTCTTAAAAGATGATGAAAATGTTTGATCAATCAGCTAAAGTTAAGATTTCAATCTATATTTGATAGGGAAAAATTGTTGTAAATTACATTATCAAAGTGAATGCAATACTGAAATGTAAAATGTGTGAATGGTCAGATCATGGTAGTGTCCGCAACACATTATATGATAGTTAAATGTAACTTAACAATGAAATTAAAGCTAGAAGCTTAGCTTAAGTCTTAATTAAGTATTTAAAGGTGAAAATATTAGGTTAACAAATATTGATAAAGCAATATTTATATATTTTGATTGTTTCTAGACAAAAGAAACAGTATTTCATATTGTGTTTGTTATGTTGCATTTTTCATTTTTCATTGTAAGATTTCTACTGTTTTTAAATTATGACCATGTTTAATACTTTCAATTGTAAGATATTCAACCAATTCTGGCTGAAATAGAGGAAAAGCAATGTTAAAAAATAAGCTGATCAGTAGTGTTGCAGACACTACAGAGTTGCAGACTCTACAATTCAGTAATAATTTGATGATGGAAAGTCTTGGCAATATAGAAAGTTATGACTGATAGGTAAATATCTACACAGTGATGGGACTTATTCACACACAAAACAGTATTTTTACTGCTGCAATAGTCATGATTGTTCCTCAGATTTCCATATTTCACTGCATTGCGGACACTACAAAAAAAGCATCCCCACAACAACCTTGAAAAAAAAGAAGAAATATGTCAATTTCTATAATCATATGTGATGTAAAAGTATTTTTTTAGCTTGTACATATACATTATTTAACGTATTAAATAGTTCTTTAATGGAAATATGATTAACTTTTTTTTCTGTTGATTTTTAGAAAGACATGGTGTTTTATTTACAAAAAGCACTTCATTTATTCATAATTATGCCAATTTTTGTGCAATTTTTATTTGGCAAAGTGCAAAATTAAGCTGAGTCTGATAGATTTTTGTGAAACCTTTGATACCTGACATTTTTTAATCACTTTATATATATAAAACAATTCAAAATTACCTCTTTTTTGCAATGTTACAGCATAACATAAAAAAATCCCCTGTTTGAGTGCATAAAATAATGATTTTAAAACACAAAACTCCACATAAAGTATCATATATCATTGTAAACCTAAAAGCTTAAACAGACATTATTTTTCCATCATTTTTAAACCTAAACAGTCATATTTTCATGGCATTTCATGAATATAACAAAAACTGTTAAGGACTTTGTAAAATATTGTGAAACAGCCATATATCAATTCAAAGTTTATTATCCACAGCGATATATCAGTGGATTATAAACTTTGAATTGATAGTAAATAGCAAATACAAGTTATTTCTAGTATATTTATGTTCATATTATACACTAAAACGGGAATATAATTGTAATTAATGGAAAACATAAAAATAACGGATTTTGGAAAAAAGGGGGTGGGCTAAAAAAAATTGTCCTGTTCCCAAGTACCTATATAAAAAAGAAGAAGATAATATTTATTTTTGTATAAGTTAATTCAACATTGATTCTAATGCAACATCGTTTGTAATGTTCATTTTGATTGGATAACATCACCAATTTTCATGGCATCAATCGCAATTGATGCTATGAAAACATATGCGCAAGCGCAGACAACGTATAACAGATTTTAAATGAATGATTTGACGTTGTTTTCTGTCAGTTTCATTAGAATGAAGATAACTGTATTGTATTTTAAGCTCAGACGGCATCAATTGGTGATTTGATGGTTGCAAATACCTGTTTACTGGCTCTGCTAACACGTAGCCTGTAAACTTAATTTGCCACCATCAAATCACCAATTGATGCCGTCTGAGCTCAAAATACAATACAGTTATCTCCTAAATGACTGTGCCATCTATTCAAATTAAGAAAAGAATAAGAAAATAATTAATGAAACATAGTGTTTCCATTGTTTAACCACTTTTAACATGCTCAATGGCTATTTCAATAGATTATATGGCCATTAACATGATTAAATGGAGTTGCCAATCTCTTAATTGTATTATCATGATCATTAATGTCTCTGAGTGAATTCAAGTGTAAATAATAACGAAAAATTCACCAAAGGGCTCTGAAATTTATATACACTGGAATTATCACTCAAATATACTTGATTTCTATCGTTATCATTCCATGATGTAGAGTTTGATTTTGACAAAACTATTTTAGGCATTTGTCATATTTTTGTGAAATCTGTGTCAGTCTGAAATTTCAGAAAAGGAATGAATATCTAAATTTGTATCATTTTCATATATCTCTAATTAAGAAAAATGTGATGAACATGATAAGATTAATGTTGTCCTGATGTACATGTAGAATAAGATAATGGAACATAAGAATACAAATATGTACATGTATAATTTGAATTGGGCACAATGGCATTGTATTTTTAAGGGTGAAGGAATCCAGTTTGCCTACAAAACATATGATGTTAAAAAAAAATCAGTGTATAATACAGTCAAACGATAGTAACAGAGCTGTTTTTGTCTCGCCTGCGATGAAAGTTGCAGTATGCGAGACATAGGGAATTATTATTAGGGATTTATTACTATCCAGCGGTGGCAATATTAACTATCATGACTATTTGTATAAAACTTTATATTTCAGAAGGAAGAAGACCTGGATGATTCATACCTTGCATGCAGATACCTTATGTTATGAAGTTTCTGTCTGTCAAATGTCTATTGTCCTTGACCTCATTTTCATGGTTCAGCGACTACTTGAAAAAAAATTATAGCTTTTTTGTCATGTGAATTTCTCACTTGTATTGAATAATAGGATAACAAAAATTGCTATAGGGGTTCCTTGCAAGGCCTATGTGTCCGTCAGAGAGAGTTCACCTGACCTTGACCCTAATTTCAAGGATCAGTGATTGAAGTTAAAGTTTCATGATTAGGTCTGCTTTTTTAGATACTATAAGCAGTAGATCAACTGTATGTGGTGTATGGAATAATTGTAAGAGGTACATGTCAGTCTGGCAGGTTCCATCTGACCTTGACCTCATTTTCATGATTCATTGGTCAATGTTAAGTTTTTATGTTTTGGTCTGTTTTTCAATTACTAAAAGCAATAGGCCAACTATATTTGGTATATTAAATAATTGTTTGTTGTACATGTCTGTCTGACAGGGTTTATCTGACCTTGATCTCATTGCCTTGTATATTTAAAAATATTAAGATTTATATGTGATACTTTTAGTAAAACCTTTATCTTTAAGACTTTCAGCATTTCAGCATAAAATCAATGGTCAGTAAAGCAGACGAGACATTTCAGCTCTTGTTTATTAAATAAATCAAGCTTACATAGATATATTCATCACTTTGAATTAGACTTGTGAGAAGAATTTGGTAAGAGACTTCAGAAATCTTAAATTGCATTTAGCATTGACTCATCCAAGTATGAAAGATTTTGTCGCTATAAACATGATAAATATAAAAGTAAGAAGATGTGGTATCTTTGCCAATGAGACAACTCTCCACCAGAGACCAAAATGAAATAGAAAATAACATTTATAGGTCACCGTACACCCTTCAACAATGAGCAAAACTCATACCACACAGTCAGTTATAAAAAGCCCCAAAATGACAAACGTAAAACAATTCAAATGAGAAAACTAACAGCCAGATTTATGTACAAAACAATGAACAAAAAAACAAATACATGTATGATAAACAGCAACAAATGACATCCAGTGAATAAGAGGCTGCTGATATAAAGCACTAGTCTATTATTTAATTTTTATACAGTAAATGGTGTAATTTTTTTAGATTTTCCAACTACTACCTAAGTCAACCTTTGGAAAAAAATCTTTTCAGTATGCAGCATCCATATTGTGGAATTCACTGCTAGAAAGCTTCAGGAAGGAAACAAAGTGTGAACAATTTTAGAAATTTAATATTGAACAGGAATATGAGAACCTGCAAATATGCTTGTTGTCAATAAAAAAAAATTGATTTATTTATATGATTTAGAATACCTCTAATTGTTTTGATGCTAAAATTTGAATATCCTGAGATTTTATTCTGAAACAATATTTAGAAAAAAAAACATCTGCAGGTATGTTGTTCCCATTTCTTATAATTTTGCATGATATTTATTTAAATTGTTGATATACACATTTAACATGATTTTAAAAAGTGTTTGGAAAATCTATTGAGAGCTTGTGTTTTAACAATTGTATGCATACCAACTTTAAATTTAATTGATATTATTTTGTTGTCTGTTATCAAGACCTACAAAACATAAAATCGTATTGCTGATTGTCATCATACAGCCTTAAAAAAATTTAAATGAGTTGATCCCATATTGAATAGTAAATTATACAAAATGTGAAACCATTCAAAAGAGAAAACTTACACTTGATTTAAGCAATCATGCCAGAAATGACATGTGAAGTCAACTATTGGACTACTTGCTCCTGGCTTTGGGCAAGCACTTAAAGGATGTGCCAGGGATTAAAACTTTTATGAGCACTGACAGACAACCTTTCCTAAATTTGGACAGTCAAATGACAGTGGTTTTACCATAAATGAGTTGACTATGTTTTATTACAATCATACAGGTCTAACACATGTTAGATAGATGTGTATATATTTTTCAAAAAGTTTATTCAAGAAAACAAAGCAAACATCATGATTCTCTGGACTAATCCATGGTTGACGTCTTTTGTAGGTTTTCTTTTTCTTTGGATCTCAACTCCCAAGTGCAGCGTGTTAATCTTGTTAAAAAAAATATATACATATAATAGATCTTTATTATTTGACAGGTACAAAAAGCATTACATTGATCAATAATGATTTATTGAAATGATCAGCTATTAGCCAGTCAGCTAGGATACTTGTCAACCTTATAACAATAGACTTATTTAAACTTTTATGTTTGAATACATATGAAGTGCAATAATGTATGAAAAGGAAGCAGGGCTAGACGTACATGAAGATGATACCGAATGGACAAATCCTTTCTTTGAACATGATGACATGCATAGTAATCATTTTGAGCAACCACAAAGTAAGAAGAAGAGAAGTAGTACATGTAATGCAGTCTTAACAGGTTTGTATAAATACATATAAGTCACTAGAACTAAAATGATTTTCTACTATTATAAATCTCCAATTATATTTCATTTTGGTTCACCTGAATCTACAATTAAGTCAGGTTTTTCATAACAGCTGGGATATTTATCAACATTCCAGCTTAATGTTCCCATAAATATACACAGATGCACTTGTCTCTAAAAAGTATACCTATAAACTGTTACTTTACATTAGTAACAATATATAGGCATATTTTTTAAATAGTCAAGTGCCTGTGTATACACAGTGTCAAATAATGTTCATTTATTGAAAGGTTTCTCATACTTTTGATTTACTATCTAAAGATACATGTTGGTTTCGATTGACACAATTTTGAGCAAGAGTTCTTCCCTTTTGTCACCATGTTCGAGGTCTAGTTGCTCAAATTCCTTCATAAATCATTCAAATTCAACTCGTCATATTGATTGTTAGACTTTAATTTATAGCCTTGTTTGTGTCTTCACTAAGATAACGAAAGAATCTTTAATTAGACTTGTTTGTACCGCATTATTATGTTTTAATTTGGTTAGTCAAATAGGATAATCAACCATTTTCCCCTCCAAAATGACAGCCAAGAGAAATACTTCAAACTCAAATTACGTCATATTGAAACCTATCTATTCATATTTGTTTTCCTATAGTGACAGAAAACTTAGTGAAAACACCTTGATTGAATAACAAGCACATCCACTTCATTTGAACTTTATAATGGTGGATAGTTGTCTCATTGGCAATAATACTACATCTCCTTATTTTACATGGACATGACGGAGGGAATTAAAGAGTAGATAACTGTTGTTTATATTGTTGTTTGTTTCATGGTGTTAACATGATGAAATGTCATTTTCTATGCTTTTTGTATCTATATGTCATTTTTTTGTTTATAAAATATTGAGTTTCTCAATGTAAAAAACCAGTGACAATGATCATGATGATTGTCAGAGAAACATCTGAAAACACAGTATATTAACAATAGAGATAAACCTAATCATTAGATTTAGGACTTAATTGTACAACTAATTGTAATATCAATTTTTCAGAAAGAAATGTGTACATATCTAAGTTGAAGCACACAAGAACTATCATACACATAGATATTGACTGTTTCTATGCACAAGTTGAAATGATTAGAAATACTAAACTTAGAGACAAACCATTAGGTAAGAGGAATAAATCTTATGACATTATATAAATATGTAAATTTATCCTACAACTGGACTGATCTTAAAAGAGAATAAAGGTACCTTAACATTATTTTCCTATGGATAGGAAATTTTGTTTTTAAGACAGATCTAACGTGTCTAAGCCATTATTAAATTTAAACCAATTTATGACATATAAGTTACTTTTATAGGTGCAAAGGATATCATTCCAAATTAGATTGCTAAAAATTTCTTAACCACAGAAATTTGTGCCTTATGAATGTATAAAATTCAATGATTGTAATGAATTGTTTAGGAAATGATCAATTACAGTTTATGATGTCTAATTTGGAACAGCGAACATGCCAATTGTAACCTATCCTCACTTGTTACTAAAAATAAAAGATGTATAAAATAGTTGCAGCTATATTTTAATTATAATTACACCTTATATAAGAAAGCCAGATTTTGATTGGTTGATAGCCAGTGTATTTTTCGCATATTCTAATATTTTTTCCTCATTTCAAACGAATTTGCCTCTTTTTTACCACTGCAGGTGAATTTGCCTCAAACACCATGGTATTTGTCATTTTGGATATTCCTTTTTTACCCTCTCGAGCATTTTCACGCCAAAATTTTTCAGATATGACATTACATAAAAAAGCAAGCTAATGCATATTAGTACATGTATAATTCCCGCGGTTCTATGATAATATCCTCTTATCCTCAAAATTATGCATAAACGTGTTACTGAATTAGTTTCAATCCAAATCTATTTGCTGTAATTAAACAGATATATCATGTTCTGGAGGGGTACTAGCGAAAAATACAAGTCTTGGGACCGAATTTCTCTCACCTAGAGGCTCAGGAAATTTTACAGTCCCTTGACTGGTATTTTTCGCAAATACCCTTCCATAACATGATATATCTGTTCACTATACCTGCTGGAAGCAATTAAGTTGCTGTGATGATTTAAATTTTTCACTTTCAGACTTATGGTATGCCAATGATTCTTCTTGTGAAACATTTTTGTCATATACTTTTTAAGTTTATAACGTTATGCATTGAAGCCGGATGGGTAAAAAAGGTCCTTAGAGCACCATGCTCAACAATAATGTTTGCTTATATATTCAGTCATACATTTTTATGATGTTCAGCCTTTGGAAAAAGATATCATTTCTATTCTTCACCTAGGAGTTCTTTTGGTTGAACAAGTTTATGATTTAAAACTCTATGTGGTGAACCAATGCTGTTGTGTTTTTTTGGTAGAGACTCCTGAAGTGGATACCTTGGCAATAAGTACTATCAAATAAAGTACCAATATGACAACAACACTTCATGAGACTGCAATTTTATTGAAATGCTGGATGACATATTTTGCCGAAGTTTTTATACGACCGCAAAAAAATTTTGCGGTCGTATATTGGTATGACATTGGCGTCGTCGTCTTCGTCCGGCGACACATTGGTTTTCGCACTCTAACTTTAGTTTAAGTGAATGGATCTCTTTGAAATTTTACCATAAGGTTCAATACCACAAAAGGAAGGTGGGGATTGATTTTGGGGGTTATGGTACCAACAGTTAAGGAATTAGGGGCCATAAAGGGGCCAAAAATAAGCATTTTCTAGTTTCCAGACAATAACTGTGGAACGGTGTATGGATCTCTCTGAAATTATACTACAAGTTTCCATACCATAAAGGGATGGTTAGGATTTGTTTTGGGGGGTTATGGCTCAAACCGTTTAGGAATTAGGGGCAAAAAAGGGGGAAAAACAAGGTTGTCCTGGTTAATGGACAAATACTTTAGTACAAAACATAATTTAAAGCAGTGTAAGGGAGATAAATCAAATACATCATTGAAATTATCTCCCTTACACTGCTTTTAAATTATGTATAAAGTAATGGTTAATGAACAATTAAGATAATTTAAAACAGTGTAAGGGAGGTAATCCAAATACAACGTTTTGGTTACTTCCCTTACACTGCTTTTAAATTATGTTTTAAGAAATGCATATTTATAAAGGAAGACCAGTAAAAATATCTGCAAATGTTGCATCTTTTTTTTTTACAAAAAAATCCATATGAAAGATTTGACACTGTATTTTAAATTCTAGTATAAAATAGATTAAGTTAGCACTATGGAAACTCATTTCAGATTTCAGAAATTAAAAAGAATTATTCTTCAAATATTATTTTTTTTTCAAATTTCAAATATTAAAAAATTTCAAGAAGTAATCTTTTATTGCACAGTATGGCGCATTAGATTTGTAAAATCTTTGAACACATTTATTTATTTGTTATGCCGAATCTAACCGTGTATTTAGATTTTTAATTTTGGGTCCGGTTTTCAAATTGGTCTACATTAAGGTCCAAAGGGTCCAGAATTAAACTTTGTTTGATTTTAACAAAAATTGAATATATGGGGTTCTTTGATATGCTGAATCTATACATGTATTTAGATTTTTGATTTCTGGCCCAGTTTTCAAGTTGGTCCAAATTGGGGTCCAAAATTAAACTTTGTTTGATTTCAACAAAAATTGAATATATGGGGTTCTTTGATATGCTGAATCTAACCATGTATTTAGATTTTTTATTTGTGGGCCCCGCTATCAAATTGGTTCATATTGAGGTCAAAAGGGTCCAAAATTAAACTTCCTTTGATTTCATCAAAAATTGAATTATGGGGGTTCTTTGATATGCCAAATCTAACCGTGTATTTAGATTTTTAATTTTGGGTCCTGTTTTTTAAATTGGTCTACATTAAGGTCCAAAGGGTCCAAAATTAAACTTTGTTTGATTTCATCAAAAATTGAATTATTGGGGTTCTTTGATATGCCAAATCTAACCGTGTATTTAGATTTTTAATTTTGGGTCCTGTTTTTTAAATTGGTCTACATTAAGGTCCAAAGGGTCTAAAATTAAAGTTAGTTTGATTTTAACAAAAATTGAATTCTTGGGGTTCTTTGATATGCTGAATCTTAACATGTGTTTAGATTTTTGATTATGGGCCCAGTTTTCAAGTTGGTCCAAGTTGGGGTCCAAAATTAAACTTTGTTTGATTTCAACAAAAATTGAATATATGGGGTTCCTTAATATGCTGAATCTAAACATGTATTTAGATTTTAGATTTTTGGCCCAGTTTTCAAGTTGGTCCAAATTGGGGTCCAAAATTAAACTTTGTTTGATTTCAACAAAAAATGAATATATGGGGTTCTTTGATATGCTGAATCTAACCATGTATTTAGATTTTTTATTTGTGGGCCCGCTATCAAATTGGTTCATATTGAGGTCAAAAGGTCCAAAATTAAACTTTGTTTGATTTCATCAAAAATTGAATTATTGGGGTTCTTTGATATGCCAAATCTATCTGTGTTTTTAGATTTTTAATTTTGGGTCCCTTTTTTAAATTGGTCTACATTAAGGTCCAAAGGGTCCAAAATTAAACTTTGTTTGATTTTAACAAAAATTGAATCCTTGGGGTTCTTTGATATGCTGAATCTAAACATGTGTTTAGATTTTTGATTATGGGCCCAGTTTTCAAGTTTGTCCAAGTTGGGGTCCAAAATTAAACTTTGTTTGATTTCAACAAAAATTGAATATATGGGGTTCCTTGATATGCTGAATCTAACCATGTATTTAGATATTTTATTTGTGGGCCCCGCTATCAAATTGGTTCATATTGAGGTCAAAAGGGTCCAAAATTAAACTTTGTTTTATTTCATCAAAAATTGAATTATTGGGGTTCTTTGATATTCCAAATCTAACCGTGTATTTAGATTTTTAATTTTGGGTCCCTTTTTTTTTAATTGGTCTACATTAAGGTCCAAAGGGTCCAAAATTAAACTTAGTTTGATTTTAACAAAAATTGAATTCTTGGGGTTCTTTGATATGCAGAATCTAAACATGTGTTTAGATTTTTGATTATGGGCCCAGTTTTCAAGTTTGTCCAAGTTGGGATCCAAAATTAAACTTTTGTTTGATTTCAACAAAAATTGAATATATATGGGGTTCTTTGATATGCTGAATCTAACCATGTATTTTGATTTTGGACATTGGACCATAATAGGTAAATTAAAAAAATTCAAGTTCTAAGACCACATTCTTTCTGTGTCAGAAACCTATGCTGTGTCAAATATTTAATCACAATCCAAATTCAGAGCTGTATCAAGCCTGAATGTTGTGTCCATACTTGCCCCAACTGTTCAGGGTTCGACCTCTGCGGTCGTATCAAGCTGCGCCCAGCGAAGCATTTTATTGATTTGTAGCAATTCAAGTATTCAGGTAAATACCGGTAGAACAATGTACCAGTACTTGAATTTGATCAAATACAAATTTGCCATCTATATTTTTTATGGCTATTCCAACTGAATATAGCTAAGCAAGCAGATTGTTTTCCCATGAACCATAAATTGATTTGAACATCATGATAGACATCTTTAGAAATTTGAGAGTAGTCAAGGGTAGATATGATTTTAATATATGCCTTCCTGGTAATTGAAGGAAATCACTATAAGTAAGTGAAGATTTTCTAAAAAATCTTTTTTGTTTTGTCATTTGTTGTTGTTTTTTGAAGGCATACAACAGAAGTACATAGTTGTTACCTGTAACTACAAGGCAAGGGAATTTGGTGTTACTAAATTAATGACTTTAAAAGATGCAAAGGAGAAATGTCCACAACTAGTGTTAGTGAATGGAGAGGATCTTACACATTATAGAGAAATGTCTTATAAGATATCAGGTAATATGTTAATTTGAATTCGAAAGTACATACAGTATGATTTAAGAAAATTTGGTGTTCATAACGACTCTAAATTATAGGCGAATTATCATTGCTTAATTAATGTCATTATTAATCACAAACAAAATGTATGTGTGTGTTTAGGGTTTCAGCCTTTTAAAGAAAGATAATGAAATTTTGTTATCATTTTTAATACATATGAAATTGTTATGCCCCCGCCTTAGCGTAGGGGGCATTAAGTTTTACCCTTGTCTGTCTGTACGTACGTCCATCTGTACGTCCCAAAGTTGGTTTCCGTTCTCTAACTTTAGTTTGCCTCAACCAAATGTTATGAAACTTATACACAATGCTTATTACCACAAAATACAGATCAAGTTTGAATTATGGTGGTGTCACTTTAACCTTTCTAGAGTTATGCCCCTTTACAAATGGAAAAATTGCTGAATTTTTCGTTTCCGTTCTCTAACTTAAGTTTGCCTCAACCAAATTTTATGAAACTTATACACAATACTTATTATCACAAAACTCAGATCAAGTTCAAATTTGGGTAGCGTCACTTTTACCGTTCTTCAGTTATGTCCCTTTATAACTTTGTATGATATGCAAGCGGGGGCATCATCTGTGTCCCATGGACACATTCCACATTTATTTTCTTCATGCTTGAAGATATTGAATTAAAATATGGTAAATACTTTTATTTTTAATATTTCCATTCATTTTATCTGTTAACTATTTAAGAATAATAAGACAATCAGTTTATGTTTTGGGCGAAAACTACAGAATATAGAGAGCATTGCAACAGCAAAGATGATCAGCATGATAAGATTTTTAAATTGATCAAAAGGAGGAAATTATCAGTAAACTTCTTAAAGTAGTTATTGTCCTTGATTGATGATTTTTATCCATTCTTTGGTGTTTTTGGTAAAAACTATAGTAGATAAAGAGAAACTGTAAACAGAAAAAATGATCAGCAATTCAACATCAACAAAAAAGAAATTTTGTTCTTGATTTATATTCTAGTCTACAATATTGGAAAGTGGCCTTTTTTTAAAACTATACACATATATTATCCAGTAGTGTGATACAGGTTCTTTTATACCGCCTCTTGTTGAATGTTTTGTCAGAAAGTTAGCTCACATCAACTAACTTTGATTGGTATTCAGCCTCACCACCAGCAATCTTGTATATATCACTTGCTCCAGTTATTATGATGGAGGGAGCTGGAGAGGCTCTCTCACCTTTGGCAGGAAAACTGGCAATCGTTGTTACTTAAGGGCATATGATACAGTTACAGGGGAGGTAATGACGTTGCTAACATAAAATGTTATTTTGGGCAACGTCAAACTGTGACATATCAGGAAAAGATGTATTTTTCGACTGATTTTTATCATTCAAACTGATTTAACTTGAAAACGAGTTCATGGACCCCTGTTTTTTAAATTGACATTCGGTTTGATTACGTATGAAGATTATTTGTACCAATTTTCATGAAAAGTCAATAATGCAATTTTTTTTAAATTTGATAAATATACAGCAAAAAATGACGTTTTTTTCTACATTCATGAACATTTGATGAATTTGAGTTATTTCTAAACAAAAAATTTCATAAATTTATAGGATACTTATATAAAACAGAAATTACAAATAATTTAACAAAAAAAAGCTTGTGTTTATCTTTTAAAACAAAAAAGTTATGCATTTCTGTCGGAAGGTTAAATACGTCCACAATCCGAATTTTGAGCAAATATCTGAAATTTAGAACTCATTTTACTCAAAAAGTAGCACATGAAGGTATATTTCTTATGACATATTTGATTTAATCAGGTAAAAAATAGCCTATTTGCAAATTTTCATCAAATTTTTATTATGGATCAAAACTGTATCGTATGCATTTAAGATCCAAGTCAAGCTTACTACCACTAGCCAGGTTCCCACTCGCAACCTCAGTGTTGACAGGCTCGTATTCATTGTAGATGAACAAGTTTCAACCAAGACCATTGAAGCTCTTTTCTGGATTTACCTTGATCAGGAACACTATGGACATATGTGCTTTCTTAAAGCCAAATAAGGATATTGAACCATATGGTTACTAAAGTAATAAATTATAGTGATTTAAGTATTGATAAAAACAAAATGTCTGGTTGTTAGGTGAGAAAGATTTAAGTTGATTTACATTAAAATATAGTTTTTGCTTTCAGTATATATATGCATTTAAGCATTTTATGTTGTTCCTTCATTTCAATGTATAATAACATCATTATATAGTGCAATTTCATTAAAGTTGACATGACTGAGCTGAAGGTTAAATTGTTTAGCAGATTTCTGAATTTATGTTTTTTTATTTTATTTCTTTTCTTTAGAATTTTTGCAGAAATACACACCAAATGTTGAAAGACTTGGATTTGATGAAAATTATCTGAACGTATCTGAAATGGTTGAACAAAGAATTAATTCTAGGTGTCAAGGAACAGAGGTGAAAGGTCATACATATTGTTCAAATGAAGAGGAAGGTATGTACACAATAATCTCTACAGAAGTGATACATTTTGAATATAACAATAATCAATTATATATTAATTTCTGTCCACTTATCGTTTTTAATATGTCTTCTTAAACTGTGAAAGAGTTGTGTCCATTGACAAAATAAAATTAGGTAGTCTCAGTTTTTGTCTGTGTCCTAATCATTTACAAGATGCGAGAAGAAAAACTTATTAAATCAGAGAAATAGAATATATTTTGTAAAGATATGAGCTAATGTCTGTTATGGTATATTTGTAACTACTCTGTAGGCAGTTGATAAATATAAATTCTGTGCTTCTTTTATAGACACAACTATAGATACTGTACAGTGTGACTGTGGTTGTCAAGAAAGATTGATTGTTGGTTCAGAGATTGCTAATGATATTCGTAGTGCCTTGTTTGCTGAGTTAGGAGTCACATGTTGTGCTGGAATATCCTACAATAAACTATTGTCAAAACTTGTAGGAGAACAACACAAACCTAACCAGCAGACAACACTCTTTCCACATCAGACACAAACTTTTATGTCTTCCATGAAGAAAGCAAGTAAAATTCCTGGTAAGAATGGATTTTTTTTAAGGCATCCTATAAGTGTTTATGGTTATATGATGATTGCATGATACTATTACATGGAAGATTTTATTTTTAATTTTATTATACCCCGCTTTAAAAAAGTGGGGGTATACTGTTTTTCCTCTGTCTGTCTGTCCGTCCATCCATCAGTTCGTCAGTCCGTCCGTCAGTCCCATGAATATTTTTCATCGCTTTTTTCTCAGGAACTACATTTCAAGGATTTCTGAAATTTGGTTTCAGGGTTTATATGAGTCAGCTTTACTGTGTGATGCGTTTTCAGATTCATCACTCAACAACTTCCTGTTTGCCTTATACTTTTAGTGGTTAGTAGCTCACAGATTTACTTGTTCTTGTTGATTTCACATATATGTCCAAACAAAATTTTGCTAAAAACTGTTTGGAATAAATCAATGGGACTACAGGAATTGAATTTCTTGTTGACATGTTAGGGATTCAAATATAATGCAGTAGAACAGATAAAAATGTAGCTGTCCAAGCTAGATATAAATTTTAATGTCACATGAATAAAGGGAGATATGTACTATGTAAACTACAAAGAAAGAAATTGGATTTCTGAATAAGTCCAATGGTTGTCTTAAAAGTTGACTATTGAAAAATGCCTTACAAAACAAATTTGAAATAACATTTTCATAGGGATATTTTGTATGTTCCAGGTATAGGATCAACAACATCAAAGAAATTAGCCAGGCTTGGTATTGTTAGTGTATTAAAATCTTCAAGAGATACCAATGGCAGACTTAATACCAGAGATAGGAGAATCTCAGGCTTTTACAAACAAACAATTGAGTTATGGCATAGATGACAGCCCTGTTGTATCTTATGGTAGACCACAGGTTATTTTACTATTCTTTCACTATGATGATTGTATATTGACATATATTCTTGTATCTATATCATTCTGCTAAATTCACAATAAGTCCACAAAAACAATTAAATACATTTAAAAATTATTTGACTTTGTGATAAAAGTTTGGACTTGGACACCACAGAAGGACTAAAATGATCATGATAGTAGATATATATGCATTTACAAGACACTGTATAACCTGTAATGATTTTTGCTTCATAAATGATGTCATTTTGTATTTGTTTAGTAACCATTTAAAAGAAAATTGTTTGCAATCTAATAGGAATACAGATCCTGTGTCCATGCTTGTCTTACATTGATATGACTACACTCTTTTCTTCTGTCTGTTACCATAAAATTTATGTAAAACAGCTAAATTTCATGTCACATTTTTTTTTTAGAATATCTGTTGTTGAAACAACTTTTGAAGAATCCCAAAACAGACAGAACTAAAAAAAAAGAATAAAGGGACATGTACTCAGAATCTTGTAAGCCAGGCATATACACAGGGTCTGTTTTTAATCAGATTAAGATTGTTTGTTATATATTTTTAGACAATTAGTGATGAAGATTCCTTTAAGAATTGCAGAACAGTACCAGAAGTAAGATCCAAAGCTTTACATCTACTACAAAGCTTATTACAGAGGTAGTGTCTTGTTCTGATAAAGAGTAATTACAAAAAACACCTGCGTAGTTGGAATCAAAGTACTTTGCAAATGTAAATGAGAAAACAAAATATCAAAATATTTTTTAAACCATACAAGATATTTAAAAAATTAAAAAATCAGATTTATTAATTGCTGAATTTTTTACTACACTGAATGAACTTTAAAAAAATTTAGTCACACATTTCTCAAATACTATTCCTCAGAATGACTTCATATTTAGTCAGCAGCTTGACAGCAATGAGTTGGCAGGTGTGTAAACTTTGAGGATCTGTCAGACACAAACTTACTGCTTTCTGATACTTTGAATTAATAGTAGGTATACTTAGCATGACAACTTGTGTGCATTCTTGGTAAATTTGAAAAAAAGACTCAAGTTGTAGTCAATACTTTTGTCTAATGGAATAGTCAAATAATAAAATAACAGATCATAAAGTTTATATTCAGTTGAATTTTCAAATTTAAACATTTCAAATGTCTTATCATAGGCTTAAAGAAGATGGTAGAATTGTACAGACTATTAGACTGAGTATACGAAAACTGACTACTGATAACCAATGGACCAATAGAGAAAGTCGTCAATGTCCTGTACCTCATCATATAGCCACAAAAATTATTCAAGGTAGGGAGGAACTAAAATATATCAAGATAAATATTCAGTGACAATTTTATTTTCAATGGTTTTGATTGTCTCCCTTCAACAAAGTTTACATATATTAGTTTGTGATTAGGTCAGTTTAACAGAACCGTTAGTGGTAGGTCAATGATATTTGGTAGGAAGTTGTATTAGCATTGTCACATCTCATTTCCATGGAGATATTTAGCACTGCCCCCTCAGTCATGGTCTATTGACTTTGAAACATATGCTTAGTTTTACATGTATTAGTTTGTAATTAGGTCAGTTTAAGGGGAACCATTAGTGGTAGGTCAATGATAGTTGGTATGCAGATGTATTATTATAGGCACATCTCATTTTCATGGAGATTATTTGCCCCAACCTCTCAGTCATGGCTCATTGACTTTGAAACTTTTTCATTGTTTACAAGTTAAAAGTTTAATTTGTTTAGGTTAGTTTTAAGGGAACATTGTATGATAAGTCAATGGTATTTGGTATGCAGTTTGATAAGCATTGTCATTTCTCATTTCCACGGATGTTATTCAGCCATGGCTCATGGACTTTGATTGATTTGACTAGTTAACATGTTTAGATATAGCCTTTTTGATTTCAACATTTGCATTATACTATTAAAATTCCAAAATGCGAGACATATCTCTGTGTCAACAGTTTATTAAATTTATTAAATGCTCTACCAAGTTATGATAGTATACAATTTTCATCCATCTGCCTCTCTGATTTTCTAAGCATGTCTTGGAGATAGTTCAAGTTTGCCTTGCATATCTTTTCAAAATTACTGCACAATTCTTGAGTAAAACTAACAACTTATCAAGTTGTTCTCTTTGCATATATATGAGACTTGAATTGTTCATGATTTAATAATTCAGAACACATCTTACATTTACAAATATTTACAAAATGTTTACACTCGTTGGTTCCCTGAGGCCAAGTGTCAGAATGAGAAACTTATGTAATTGGTTCTCTCATCTATTTAAATGCATTTATTAGAGGAAAGAATGAAAAAAAAAACAAAGGCTTTATTTATCTAATTTTTTTTTACTGATCAATGGATATTGCCTTTTTTGGTGTTGAAATTTAGATACTGTCCAGGATTACTGTTTTTAAAATATCAATAATCTTTTTCAAACCTTCATGGAATTTCAGGAAACTTTTAACAGAAGATTCTCCATAGTCATGAGATATCATGTAGAATGAATTTTGGATTTTTTTTTTCTTTTCTTTGGTAAATTGTTTGAAGAATTTTGTGGTAGGTTTGTTTGTTATTCTGTATAAACTAATTCTCTGAATGCTATATATATATAACTTTTTTTTTATGAATTGAACTCCTTTAATTAGATAATAATCTATTTTTATTTTAGGGTATATTTCATTACATTACATTGTGTAGATAAAGTTGTTGACATTGATAGATAAGTTGCAGATCTATATTAGTTTGTGACAAATGAAAGAAAAAGTATTTGGAACTATTAACTATATTTGATTATAATTTGAAAATAGATATACATTGTGTAATGTCATATCTAATATAAGAAAATAGTGGTTAAATCATATCTAATTTTAGAGAAATATGTGTTTATAATTCATTCAGTTTGAGTTATTTCCCTTTGAACAGAAAATTATATGGATAAAATAAGACTGTGTTTCATTTCAACATAAATTAAATATATATATAGGGTTCTTTTAAATGCTGAATCTAAACCTGTATTTAAATATTAGATTTTTGGACCCAGTTTTCAAGTTGGTCCAAATCAGGGTCCAAAATTAAACTTTGTTTGACTCAACAAAAATTGAATTTATGGGGTTCTTCGAAATGCTGAATCTTATCATGTATTTAAAGATTTTGGATTGTGGGTTACTTTATGAAATTGGTCCACATTGATGTCCATAGGGTCCTAAATCAAACTTTTGTTTGATTTCATCAAAATTGAATTCTTGGGGTTCTTTGATTTTTTATATTGGACCATAGTAGGTATTTAAATGTCTAATTTCAAATATTTCAGTTCTTTGACCACATTCATTTTGTGTCACAAACCTATGCTGTGTCAAATATTCAATCACAATCCAAATTCAGAGCAGTTTTAAGCTTAAATGTAGTGTCCATACTTGCTCAACTGTTCAGGGTTCGACCTCTGCAGGAAATCCGGTTTGCTGTCACTCTGACAGCCTCTTGTTTTTCTTGTATTTTACTGATCAATACCCAAATGGACAGTTTTTGGGAGTCAACATTACATTTTCACAGCAGTTGCATATTAGACACAGGGTTCCCTGGAAACTGTATAAATTTTTTAATGGTGTGTTTTGGAAAGGCCTTTGGAAATGAAGTTTAATATAAGTAACAGACATGTTGGAGTGGAAAACAAAAAACCATAATGAGTCTATCCTGAAAATAAATCTTTAAAATGGGGAAACTTGAGCATGATTGTTGTAAGTGACAAAATATTTTACGGTCCTTACTGTACAAGAACTTCTCTAGGGTTATCTGATCTTGTAAAATGTCATGCTTTAATTAAATTTATCATTTACATTTAGTAAAAGTCAACTACATTTGGTTAATAGTATCATTGTAAGATGTACTTGTTCGTGTGATTAGGTTCAATTGACCTTATTTTCATAGTTCATTGATCATGGATAGTTTTTATTAACCGGATTTTCGAAGGAAATATCAGTTATTAAAATGGTGATGTACGGGGGGCGGCTGGGCGGGCCTACGGGCGGCTGCCAAATAGTGTCAGCACAATAACATGAAAACGCTTTAACAAATTTTTTTCAAATTTAAATATGTTGTTTCCTGGGACTTAATGAAGGTCTAGTTCAATTTTCAAGATTTTAGTATATCTCCTTTGTGAGTTATCGCCATTTTTAATATCCAAAAGTGGAATTTTTAAATATTTTACTCTTGTTATCTTTTTTATGACTAAGCATAATGTCTTATCTCACAATAAAAATTGGAGTGACAGATTTATTTGAAAATTATCTATTTCCTAAGTGGTAATGATTATAAGCTATATTATTAGACATTTTGAAGTTAATTACATTATTAATTATTAATTAGATCTGGGTTATATTTTAGCATATAATATCATTGGAGTGACAGATTTATTTGAAAATTTTCTGTTTCCTGATAAGATCTGTAGGAAATTTGAAATTTACTAGTAGGACTGTATAAATGAAATTTGAAATTTACTGTTCATTATTAGACATTTTATAGATAATTAAGTCTCCCTAAACCATATATATTCTTACCCCCACCCCCCTTCAATTTGAGAATGTGCTTTTATCTTGTAAACAGTTGAGATCCCCACATCTAAACCATATATATTCTTGTATGGGACAATAAAACAAATCAAATGAAATATTTGGGGAGTCCCCGGGTTCACCCCACCCCCCTTCTTTTTGATAACTTGTAAACAGTCGAGATCCCCACCCCTAAACCATATATATTCTTGAATGGGACAATAAAACAAATCAAATGAAATTGAGGGGGAGTCCCCTGGGGTCACCCCACCCCCTTTCTTTTTGAAAACTTGTAAACGGTCAAGATCCCCACCCCGAAACCATATATATTCTTGTATGGGACAATAAAAAAAAATCAAATGAAATATAAGGTGAGTGCCCTTGGGTCACCCCAACCACCTCCTGTTTAAAAACTTGTAAACGGTCGAGATCCCCACCCCTAAACCATATATATTCTTGTATGGGACAATAACACAAATCAAATGAAGTATAGGGGAAATCCATGGGGGTCACCCCCACCCCCTTTCTTTTTGAAAACTTGTAAACCGTCAAGATCCATACCCTGAAACTATATATATTCTTGTATGGGACAATAAAACAAATCAAATGAAATAAAAGGTGAGTCCCCTGGGGTCACCCCCACCCCCTCCTGTTTGAAAACTTGTAAACGGTCGAGATCCCCACCCCTAAACCATATATATTCTTGTATGGGACAATAAAACAAATCAAATGAAAAATAGGGGAAGTCAATGGGGGTCACCCCCATCTCCCTTCTTTTTGATAACTTGTAAACGGTCTAGATCCCCACCCCTAAACCATATATATTCTTGAATGGGACAATAAAACAAATCAAATGAAATTAAAGGGAAATCCCCTGGGGTAACCCCCCTTCTTTTTGAAAACTTGTAAACGGTCAAGATCCCCTCGCTGAAACCATATATATATTCTTGTATTGGACCATAAAACAAATCAAATGAAATATAAGGCGATTCCCCTGGGGTCACCCCCACCCCCCTCCTGTTTAAGAACTTGTAAAACCCCTAAACCATATATATTCTTGTACTGGACAAAAAAACAAATCATATGAAATAAAGGGAGAGTCCCCTGGGGATCACCCCCCTTTTGAGAACTTGTAGGTTGCAATTCTGTAAATACAGACAATGCAATTTCCCATAGGAACTCCCTTTGCGGCTAAAACTGTGACACTTTTACTATGAAGTTTCGTGAAAAATAATATCCCAGAACGGAAAGTTTATATGCACTACTATTTTATTCAAAGGTCAAAATATAGGGCTGTGCGGCATATTTTCAACATTTATATGCCCTGAACTTCTAAGAGTTTAAACTTATACTAAAATTCTATACTACCCTTACCTCCATTTTTGGACCTCCTAAGAATTAAAATTTAGCCGCTACCATGTTTATCTATACTGGTTACATTCCCAAGTGATGTCTCTATGAGATGAAACACAGAGATCATCAATGGGAACCAGTACGTTAACAAATTAACATACCTATGAATATTAAATATCTCCCCAAAAGAGGCGTGGTTTGAGAAACAGCTGTATTTACAAAGTGCAACCTATACAAACATTTATTCAAATAGAAAACTCTCTAAAAACACTTTTTCTCTCAACAATACTTATTTATCAGAATTATAGCCTTAAAGAAATCACTGCATATACTCTAAGTCTCCTTTTACAGTACATTTTATACCCCTACCCCTGTTTCAATTTTTTAAAGATTTTGAA